GGACCCTTCACAAAATACGATTCTTTCATTATTTGTCCGAAATGAATATTCTGCGCTCAGCAGTATAGGCTAAATACCAAATATTTGTAAGTTGCATCTCTAATTTAAAAGCAGCAAATCTTCATTATTATTTTGTTAATCGAATAAACCCTTTCCAGGGCAGAAAACAAGAAAGATGGATGTAAACGAATTAAGTTTTGTCTTCGGCAGACGATTCTTTCATTATTCGTCCGAAATGAATATTCTGCGTTCAGCAGTATAGGCTAAATACCAAATATTTGTATGTTGCATCTCTAATTTAGAAGCAGCAATTGTTGTTTAGTTTTGAAAATTTTTTTAATTATAATTTTACAGTGTTGAGCATAATCTTGTATATCTTTACAATTTAAAAACTCCTTGAAAAAGTTTTTTTTGCACAAATTCATAAAAGCGGACCCTGGTTGAAGGAATGTGAGTAATTTTTTCACAATTTCACGAAAAACGTACCTTTCACAATGTCTGGACAGACCCCTGACCATTTTCAATAAGTATGTTACAATATTTCTGTATGAATGTATATCCTTCTATAAGAATACGTGTATATCGTTGCAAAATCAATAGCAATCATTTACTACATTAATTTATAAAGGCAATTAAGTGAAAATAATATATTGTCCGCTATATGCCATAAATTATAGAAAACAAGGTTTTTGACGGTTTTTACCGGTAAAAACACGGTTTTTACCACTGTCATGTCGAAAACCAGTTTTTGACGGCAAAAACTCAACCCTGCTTATTACTAAAAAATTTTAATTAAAGATTCATAATGTAAGGTTCGTTTAGACGAGTTGCGTTAATATTTTAAACTTCTTGGTATGTTATTAAAAGAGTTTATGCCTTACGGATTGATCAAATAAAGATCGGTTTACGAATGTCTTTTTCATCTTCCTGAACCGCTGTATAAACTCAGGACGTGGCATGTATATGCAATTTTTAGTATTTACTCGCAAATGACTTCTGTTTGGCCGATCGCTCTTTTATGACAAATGTTTTCATCCTCTCATTCATTACGTTCAGCTTGATATGCTTATCTGTTGGTCAGAATTGGATTATAATCGCATTTATGGGTGAGTTAAGATAAAACAATTGTTTTTGAAGTGTTTCTTCTGAACTTAGATTAAGTGTGAAGCAATTAATTTTTTTTTACAAACATCTGCAGCCATTTACAGCAGAAGTCCCTTATTTTTTCCCCTTTTGATTTCAAGTATGGAGAGCTAAATTGAAGTTGATCGAAAACAAAAAGTTTGATAGGCGTTTAATTCTGAAATAGCTGCCACGCAATCACATAGTGCAGGTACTAATGTTTTAATTTAAGAAGCAGGTGTTTGATTAATTCAAAAGCTTCTGTGTGTTCGGTAGATTTCCAAAACAACCTGTACTAATAAAGACCTTTTTTTTTCCGTTTGGCTGCGTAAGAATAAGATGACGAATTTTGACACGTTGCTGCATTTTTAAGGAGGTTATATGTATTTTGTTCGTTTGTTTACTGTTTTTTTTGTTTGAGTCACCTGTAAGGTGTTCATGATTAGGTAGCGTTCTTTTGGTGTTATTCAGAGCCTAAAAATATTTAATCAGTCTTATATTAATCGTGTGACCTGTTTTGAAAAAGTTGCATCATTTCAAATTGTTGGGAGAGCTGAAGTTTCGTTATTGAGACAAGTCCGGTATTTATTCTAAGCTATTTTTTCGCACCCTAATAGATATACATTTTTTGAAGATATCTTTGCTTCAATGTGAAGGTGTCTTTTGTTTTATTAAAATATATTTGAGGTCGTATTAAGTTTATGCTCTTCAGAATTGTTTTTTGATGAATAAGATGCGGGAAAAAAGATTAAGAAGGAAGAGCCCTATTGCATCTAAAGGCAATTAGTGGAATATCAGTTTGATTTATATACGTATCTAAAAGGCCTATTAACTCGAGTACGATGAATTGATTTGTATGTTAGTTTGCTGTGGGACCCAGTTTAATTAAGGCACTTAACTCTTATAATTATCTTATAACTCTCGTATAATTGGCATAAGAGTAGGGTTGAAAGTCTAGGTTGAATATATAAAATAACGCGCATTATTAAATTGGAATAATACGCGTGTTTGGCAGAAAATGGATTTTGTTTTTTAAATTTGTCAAACACTCGTTTTTGCGCGGTGTGCTTGAACTCCTGTATTGATGATAGGTTTGCTGATCACTGATGCGTTACAAGAGAAGTGCCGATGTCTGATTATTTACGCACATTTTTGTCTGGAGTGCAGTGGAAGGAAGTTTTCGTTTGAATTCCAATCCTAATAAAATTGTCTATTAAAATATTTGTTTTATAGTTTTACCCGCAAATTTTAACTTTTCCTTCAAGTGATCCCCCCCCCCTTAAATAGTTTGGAATTATATATCTTTAGTTAGTTTGCACAGCGATCTCTCATTTAGTGACGTTAAATGAACTACTAGTTCTGTTATTATTTTAATGGTCTTTAAATTAATTTGACTTGGTTGCTCAATGTGCGTAGTATTTATACTACACAGGTGAAAAATTACTTAT